TTCCCTACAGATATTTCTCTGGGGGTAAACTCACCTGTACTATGGGTATGACAAAAGACAGGGTTTTACCACTGCCAGTAGGTGCTGAGACGCAGATGTCTTTGGGGCGGTATCCTCCCTGCCCCATCAAATACCCATTGGATGCACTCTGTAGGATAGCAGGAATCACCTCTGCCTGAACTGAACAAAAATGGAAACAAACATTAACTACAGAGTTAACTGGGCTAAAACCAGTGTACCCAGAAAAGCAGTTATACACAATGAATGTTTCCACATCTGTGCTGCTGTTGCTATAGACATAAGAAAGGAAGAAATCAACACCAGTTGTTAATAGAGATGCTATCTCGTTTTACCTGGTTCTTGTTCACTTGTGGGAGCTTAACACTGAATACAGAGATTTCCCTCTCCAAGAATTCTGCTATTTCCAGTGCTCAGCTAGGATGTTAGCGTGTTAAATATCGTTTTCAACTCACATCTGTCTTCTCGTTCGCATGTTAGGATGGCACTGGGCAGACTTAAAAGCTATGAACATTTGTCTGTAAGCATCCTTCCTTTGAAGTACAAACTACTCTTACATAAACACAGAATATGCAACATGGCAACGCAGCCTTATCTGCCAAGGAGCAAAACGCACAACTCCTGTAGGCTTTGGAGCCACTCAAGTTCGCTGCAGGAGAGTACACAAGGACTGAAGCAGTCCTGTACAGACAAGAGCTTTGGCTGTCACACATGAACTCTCTCCTTGCCCTGCCCCATGACAAGCCCTGACAAACCGGCCAACTTCGGTTTGTCTACAAGGTTTAGCAGCCAGAGGATCTAGCTCCCTGACAAGACCATACTCGGTGACGCATACGATGTATGACTTCAGTGGACCCCATCTCTACCTGACAGAGCACGACACTGCTTGATTTATCTACTACCAGGTGCCATAAGCTGGACTTGATTTATGAGGAAACACAAGAAGCTGCTATCAGCAACCTGTTAAGATCTCCCAGAACAAAATAAGCAATAGCATTTACATTAAAACATTATGTAACAGCACACTTAAAGAGAGAAGACACATGCTGGCTTTCCAACATAACCTTGACGAGTCTCTGATACAGTCTAAGCGTTCAGGCTCAGCTGAACCAAGTAGTTGGATGAAGCTCAGAGATCCCACCTTCTTCCCTTCTCTCCCTCTCCTTATCCCTGCTTCCAGCTGTGCTTTCTACTTATTTAGGAGCTGCCGTTTATTGTACTTGTCTGCAAAACTGGTAAAATAATGGAAAACCAACAGCTTTTTTTGCTTGAACAGTTTTCTGCTGCTTTAAGGAGTTGAACAGGTTCCCAGAGAGGTCTGATAAGAAGCCGAGATGGTGAAAGGTAAGGAACTAAAGCACAAGCCTGGCATAAGGGAGGGAAAAAATGGGAGGACACAAGTAAGACCTCCCTCTTTGGGCAGCTGTGAGCTACTACTTCAAGCCACCGTATTTTGTGGAGCTGCATTTATGACTAGATAACAGACTTCAACTACTCAGCCTAGATAAAGATTCGAAAGTGAAGGGTTAAAACTGTATGATCACTTTGATGCATTAAACTTGGTTCTGTTCTATGTTTTACTTCACTGACTACATAAAATATACAGCAACAGACTGCAGGAACTACATAAATCAATTCAGAAAGACACAAAAGCACTATCAAGGTACCTGGAAAAAATGACTCTATCCCATTCATTTGCAGCTTTTTCAACAGCCTGGGGTGAATTCCTGGGACCTCTCCGATTGGAACTAGGTTATCTTTGATACGTTTTTGCACTAGTTTGGGTTGAGCAAGCCACTGCGGTAAGAAGGGCTGAACCTGAGGTGAGGGAAAGGAGAATAACAAAGCGTTTCTGCCGTCAAACAGGCAATGCCATACACAAAACAAGCTGGTAAGGATGCCTGTTCCTTCCTGACCATCATCAAAATTCAGTCAAGCTAGTTACCTTCTGCACTGGCTTTCTGTCGTAGTCTCCAAGAACCACCAGACTGGAGGGTGGAGGATTTGTCTCTTCCTCCGAGGCTGCTAAGGACAGCTCCTCCTTTGTGCTTTGATTTCCTTCGGCTCTTTCACTGTTCTCTTTCCTCCTTGTTTCAGCTCCCTCTGTTTCTTCATCCTTCTTCTTCCTTTTAGAAGACTCATTTGTAAGGCTGCTTCTGTTTTCCTGTTGGTTGATATCTTCTTCAGAATCTGGAATTTGGATAACCGGCATACAAAGCTACAGGTGAGAACGTGCTACAGAAAAGGTATGTAGGGAACATTTTACAACATAGGGCTTGAGCAACAACTTGTAAGCTCCTCTTTCTTCCTAGATTCAAGTGCAAAAGCCAAACATTCCTTCGCTGGTACGAAAGCAACTGAAGACTGAGGTGACATAAATTGGAAGGACATGGATTTGACGGGTGGACTGTTCAGTGGATAAGGAATTGGCTGGATGGTCGCATCCAGAGGGTAATGGTCAATGGCTCGATGTCCAGATGGAGAACAGTGACGAGTGGTGTCCCTCAGGGGTCCGTGCTGTTCAATATCTTCATCAATGACACAGACAGCGGGATCGAGTGCACCCTCAGCAAGTTTGCAGATGAGACCAAGCTGAGCGGTGCAGTCGACAAGCCTGAGGGACGGGATGGCATCCAGAGGGATCTGGACAGGCTGGAGGTGGGCCTGTGTGAACCACATGAGGTTCAACAAGGCCAAGGGCAGGGTCCTGCACCTGAGTTGGGGCAATCCCTGGTATCAGCACAGGCTGGGGGATGAAGGGATTGAGTGCAGCCCTGAGGAGAAGGACTGGGGGGTACTGACAGACGAAAAGCTGGACATGAGCCGGCAATGTGCTCTCGCAGCCCAGAAGGCCAATTGTATCCCGGGCTGCATCAAAAGAAGTGTGGCCAGCAGGTTGAGGGAGGGGATTCTGCCCCTCTGCTCCGCTCTGGGGAGACCCCCTTGGAGCTCTGTGTCCAGCTCGGGGGTCCTCAGCACGGGAAGGACATGGAGCTGTTGGAGTGGGGCCAGAGGAGGCCGCAAAAATGATCAGAGGGTGGAACAGCTCTGCTGTGAGGACAGGCTGAGAGAGCTGGGGGTGTTCAGCCTGGAGAAGAGAAGGCTGCAGGGAGACCTTATTGCAGCCTTTCAGTACTTAAAGGCAGCTTATAAGAAAGATGGGGACAGGCTTTTTAGCAGGGCCTGTGGCAACAGAACAAGGGGTGATGGTTTTAAACTAAAAGGGTAGATTCAGACTAGATATAAGGAAGAAATTTTTTACGATGAGAGTGGTGAAACACTGGCGGGGGTTGCCCAGAGAGGCGGGAGATGCCCCATCCTTGGAAACATTCAAGGCCAGGCTGGACGGGGCTGCGAGCAACCTGATCTGGTTGTAGATGTCCCTGCCCATTGCAGCGGGGGGTGGACCAGATGGCCTTTAAAGGTCCCTTCCATCCCAAAGCATTCTGTGATTCTGTGACATGCTTCCCTCCTTCCCTTACACTAAATTGATCCTCAAAGTTTGCAATATGGGGCTTTCCCCTAAAAAAGGAGTTACTTTGGGAACATATTAAGCAGAGGAAAGCAAAATCTACCACCAGGTAAATTCGGCAAGTTACTCAAAGGGTAACTTGCGCTTGCTTCTCTGTTGAGAACTGTCGACCAAAATGACCCCAGCTCATTGTTACCTGCTTCAGTCCTCTCTTGAGGCACTTTCGATTTTCTTCTATTTTCTTTCTTCTTCGACGCAGTGCTGCCATCTGCCGCCTCCTCAGTACCCGCCCCTTCTTCAGAAGAGCTCCGAGGCCGCTGTTTCTTCTTTAGCCTCTTCTGGCCTTGCGCACCGGGCTGCTCTCCACTCTCCCTCTTCCTCTTCCCGCCCCCGGGGCTCGGCCCCGCGGCCCCTGGCCCGGCTCCTCCGGACACCTCGCCTTCCCCTCCCTCGGCCC